ATAGTCTCATCCGAGCTCATGCCTTTGGCGCTCAGGTAAACATGTGCGAGAATCGCAATTGACCCTCCCCCAAACCACCCTTAAACAGAACAAAATGACAAAAAAGACAAAATTTGTGACAGCGGTGTTCGAGAGAAACTGCAGACGTTTATTACCCTGCCTGAAACTTTGCAAACATTTCAGTGTGGTTGCAGCTGTAAGGGTGAGGTGGATCCAATATGAAAACTGGACCCTGAAGCGACGCCTTCAGGATGCCGAAAATAATTATGGTAAGTTAGAAATTATCGCACTAGTATACTTCCTAAATATTTGGGCCGGTTGTCGGTTAAAAAATTTTAACCCAGTTAATTTGTCACAAATTTTCAGGCATAATATCTTGAAAAGAATGAAACTGCAGATGTTCCAAACTGGCTGAGGTAAAGCAGCCTTGCAGTGCACCAAGGTTTACACTGAACATACTTTTGTGTATTGTCCACGAGGTGTAGCTCGTGCATTGAAGTTTTATGAGTTAGTTTCTTCAATGTTTGAACTTTCAGCGTGCCAACTGGGTAGTGTGTAATTGTTTTTTTTTTTTTTTTATAGCGCAAGCAATATCTTAATCCTGGCGGCAGGAAGATTCGGCTAGCAGTTGACATGGTTGGAGAACGGTGTGCATGCTTGCTTTCTCTGAAGCGGCCAATGAAGCGAAATAACAGCATGTGCGGATTGTCCATGCATTTAATTTTTTGTTTGTTTGTTTCAGACTACATGTGCTCCCAGTACAAGGGGGTGGCCCTCCAGGCTCTGACGACTAGCATGTCGTCTCTGCTCTGCTGTCGAGGGAAATTTAAAGGGTAAATATTGCAGCTGCAGTTTTTTCTATTCTTTCCCTGCTACACTTCCTGCAAATTTCTGTGCATACTTGGTCTTTTTGTTTTCATTGTACTGTAAACTTTTGTTATAGTCCGTTGCAACAATAGAATAGCACAAGCCCCTCCCACAATTCCCTTTGCTCGCCATGATTGGCGGTGTCCTCTTGGCTTTCCTCCTCTCTAGTGTGTGCTTATTAAAAAGAGTGAAGGGCTTTGTGGGAGGGGCTTTGCTATTCTAGAGTGGCAACAGAGTATAGCATAACCTCAGTTAATTTAATCATTTCGAAGAGTCCTAGCGGGCACCCATGCATTTTTATGGGAAGGACTCGGTGTCATATTTTGAACCGAGAAAATGACCCTACAAATGGGAAAGCACGGGCCTTCTGCTACAAAATTAACCGAACCAAACTTTGTTTTCAAGATCAGACCGGAAAAAGTCGACTCCTGTCTTATAAACGGCGAGTAACAGAAATCCTGTGCTAGTGTCGCCACGTTAGGAAGCTAATGCTATGACCCCCATCTTGATTTCTTTAATGCTTGTTATGGCTGTTTTCACATCTGGTATTTTCACTGTTCTTTGGCCAAAAGTGAGTGGCAGGTCACCATAGGTTTCCAGAAGAAAGCGGTCGCATATGCAGAAATTTCTAGCAAGTTCGTAGCGCAGTGGCGCTTCGTCGCAACCGAGGAAAAACTATGGTATTGTTGGTGCAAAACATTAAGCCTCACGACTAGCAGCAACTTAATCGTGGATATACTTCACCGTACGGCGTTTATTTGAGCTCTACTCCACACAAAATATTAGAGGGGCACTTAGGTATCCCTTTGTGGATTGAAAGCGAAAGCATTGCCATTCCTAACGACACTTCCTTCTTTTTCCCCTCTATTGTTAAGAATGGCAATGCTTTCGCATTCAATCCACGTAGGGATACCTAAGTGCCCCTCTAATATTTGTTTTACATTACATCATGCGGCGTCACACATCATGGTACGTCATGTCGTCACGTGGAGTGTGATGTCATCGAACCGAGGACATATTTTTATGACCATCTTTCGGGCACATCAACGCCGATGCTGTCAAACATGATGAAAAAACAGCCTCGGATAAACAGTGACGAAGAGCGGGTAAAGACATGCCGTCTTTTGCTGTAATGGGACAAGCTTCTTTTTGAGGGGAGAGTAATGTCGCATTCCGAAGCGGCTGAGATAGCAGAGCAGCTGGCATGCCTGGCTCTCACACAGCAGCACTGGGTTCAAATCTCGGCCGTGGAAGCACATTTTATTCTTTCTTTTATTCCTCTGTTAACTTTTGGTACAACTCGGATTTTCCGCTCCGTGGAGATATAATGCTTTCGCATTGTGCCTTTTAGTGTGGTAGAGTCGCACAGCTGCTCACCACTTTGAAAATCACTACTGAAGTATGAGAGGGCGCTAGTGATCACCAAATCAGGTTCACGCCATTCGTAGGTGAAGGATCCTTTTGGGTGCACTGAAGATTTGTGTGGCATTTTCTTTCGTTGATTCATTGGCGCATCTCGCCGTTGATCGCAGTCCTGCACCTCGTTAGCTCTAACGGGCAGGATGGACAGCTCGGCAGACTCGTCGGCTGAATCCTCCGTGTGTAGTTTAGCATTGTCCTTAGGCTGCTTCAAGTAGGGATGCATGTGAACAGTGCGCAAAACACATGCCTCTTGCCCATGCTTCTATATTCATTGCTGGTCGCAGCGAAATAGCCAAGTGATGTGCAGCCATGTTTGCCCTAAGAAGTTCGTGAGACACTTTGGATAATGTCGTAATATTCCGTTGTAAGTCACACAAAAGTTGCGACAATCTTGTTTTGTTAATAAGGATTTCTTCTCGGGTTTTGTCATACGCAAGTTTTTATCGTAAGTTTGCTTTTTGAATTCGGCCTCTGATGTCTCGATCCTCCCAATATTTCAAACTTAGTGTGGCGGATCCAGACCTCCGTTTTAATGTGGGCGGAACATTTTTAAGGATACTATTCTCCCATTCTTTTTTGTGCAAGGGGGGTCCACTCATATCAAATTGCCCTCCGAAAAGGGGGGAGCGAGGGGGGTCAACTTTGTATGGGGGGGGGGGGGGGGCCTTTGGATCCGCCACTGTTGTGAAAGCTGCAGTTGACACTCACCCATTCGGAGCATGGCTTTATGATCCGCATAGAACCCTATTACCCTTTCCTTCGTGTCCGTTGTGATTAAAAATACTTCTTCAAGATAATAAACAAACACAAAAAAGTAAATAAAAGTACACAGGGACAACAATTGTGGGCATAAAACACTGGCGCCAGTGTTTACCACCACTTATTGTCCATGTGTTTTTTGCGGCGCTTGTCTACGATCATGGATCAGTTGGCTCGAATTGCCATATTAATTCTGCGAGATGCTTATAAGTCTTAGCTTCTCTATGTTCGAATTTGGTAAACTTCATAAGCGGCAACATCTGCTGGCTTATCTTTGGAAGACCTTTTCAAAAGCCGAAATAAAAAAGAGTGCAATGCGGCGGCAAAACAGTGAGCGATTGATTCTCGCAGACTCGGGGGCAAAATATACTTTTGCATTATGGTGCCCCTGACAGTGTTATTAGTGCCACTCATTAAACTATCAAGGTAGTGTGTAAATTAAGTGCCTGGGTGAGCAAAAATGTAGGAATTTTGAATGTGACTTTCGGCATTTAAGGCTGGTTCACACATACAGTGCAGCGCTAACTCAGTCCTGTTAAGGCAACGAGTCACTGCTACTTCCATGGCCTGTATCGTGTGTTCTGAGGGTCCTCCTTTCATAAAGGACTGATGTCCCGGTTTGTAATACTGATTCAGCGCTGAGGTAGTGCTGCGCTGTGATCAGGATACCTTGCGCGGACATAGAAGTTTAGATAAGCAGATCAACGTGTAACTGTGCATCTTTTTTCTTTATAGGTTACCAGTACAAGGTCTCCCATGGACATGAAGGCAGTACAAGGTCTCCCATGGACACGAAGGCAGTACAAGGTCTCCCATGGACACGAAGGCAGTACAAGGTCTCCCATGGACACGAAGGCAGTACAAGGTCCCCCATGGACACGAAGGCAGTGTACCGTATACTCGAATTTTACATTTTTAATAAACCAGTTATTACTCCTTCCCACGGTTTTATGCAGGCATTTTCCGAACCTTGCATGCGTATATAGGCGAACATATAAGTAAAACACTTGCACTCACTTTCCCCTTCCCTCAAAACAACGGTTAGATCCGGACTACATGTTATGCAACCTATTGCCGTCTTCCCCCTTAGAGCCGTCTATCTAGAAACCCATGCTAGGAGTATAATTTCTAATACATTTCATTTGAAAGTCTAGATACACTGCTTTGAGTCTCTGTTGAAAATCAAATGTTATTTTCTACAGCGTTGCAATTCAGGTCTTGATGGGCCATCTCATTTGGTATATTCCGACTCGTCGGAATATACTTAATGAGATGGCACGTCAAAACCTCAAGTACAACGTGGTAGAAAAAAACATTTGATTTTCAACAGAGACTCAAAACAGTTTATCTAGACTTTCAAATGAGATCTATTAGAAATTCTTATGAGGTGGCACGGCAAAACCGTAATTGAAACGCGGTGGCCAATAGTTTTCGTAAAGTCCTTAGGGACTCGTTACAAAAAATCAATTGTTTTTCAACACAGACTCGAAACGGTGTCAATAGACTTTCAAATTATATTCATATGAAATACATTGGAAACTTTATGCGGTAGCTTTGTCGAAACATCAATTGGAACGCGGTGGCCAATAGTTTTCGTAAACTCCTTACGGACTCGTTACAAAACTCGTTTGCATTTCTATTGAGACTCGAAAAGATGTAATGAGTAGACTCCATAAACTGTCAAATGAAATTCATTAAAAATTTTTGTAAGGGCAGGCTCTACAGACCGCCGAACTTGCGGTACGTAGCGTGAGGTAGCACGTCGGCTTGCGATCCCGTGTCGACCTTGAACAGTACCTCTTGGCCAGCCACCTGCGCCTTGACGACCCAATCACGTTGCGCAGCAGTTACACCACAGGCGTTGATGTCGAGTATACAAAAATCGTCGTCATTGACGTCGTCATGCACCGTGCGGACCTGAGTCCCAGATTTGCAACAAACTGCGAAATGGTTTATCTTTTTGCAGGCGTTACAAATTCGTCCGAATGCTGGACAGTTTCCCGGCTTGTGCACTCGATTACATTTTCTGCAGGGTTGCATTTGTTGCCCAGTTCCATGTACGGGTGCTTCTGCATTTTCCCTTGTGGCGGAATCCACTCGCGATTCTTGCTTTGCCCGTTCTACATTGTGTAGCACACTGGCCTTGGCTGCCTTGCACATCTGCTCTGCTTTAGCCAAGGTCAAGTCTTTTTCATGCAGCATCTTTTCTCGCAGTTTCTTGCTTTTCGTGCCAAAAACAATCTGGTCGCGAATCAAGGAATCACATAACCCTTCGAAGTGACAATACCTGGATTGTTTCCCGAGGTCCCGAAGAAAATGCTCGACCGGCTCTGATTCGCCCTGCATCCTGGACCGGAAGATGAACCTCTCGTAGACTTCGTTCTGCTGTTGTGCACAGTACTCCCCTAACTTCTTGACAACTGTGTCGTAGTCCTCGCGGGTTTCCTTCTCCAAGAACTTGAAGTTGTTGAATACTTCCAGGGCCTCTTCTCCAGCAATACTGAGCAGCAATGCCGACTTAGCAGCGGTGACCACTGCTGACGTGGCCGCTTCAGATGTGGCAGCTGCAGACGTGGATCGAGACTTGCCACCAATTGTTGTCGCCTTGAGAAACAGTTCGAACTTCTGCCTAAAAAGGCTCCAGTTTCTTTCAAGGTTTCCCGATAGAACAAGCGGGTCCGGCGGCTTCAGTAGTTCCATGGCGTTCAAAGTACGCCAAAGTACGCCAAAGTACACCCCACTCCTGACACCATGTATCAGTTTCGTAGTGACACACACTTTTCTGTGCCGGGCAACTCAACTAAGCCGTTGTTTATTGCGTTATCGTTTATATACACTGCAGGGGCGTCGCCGTAGTTGCTGAGTCACATGCCACGTCTTATCATGCCACTTTCACACGATAAACGCTGAAGGCTCGCTGGCGAGTTGGACTTGCCAAATTGCAAGCGGGTGAACTCGTACAGCCCTCTGTGGCAAATGAAGGCGATTTTCTGCACGTCACTGGATGCACCTCAATCTGAAGGAATTCAGGGCTGCAATTCAACGTGGTGAACACCGTCGCGTTACCGAGCGCGTACATTATAGAGGCAATGCCGGGAAAGGGTAACTATCTCGTACTAGCACTTCGTTAAGCCGTCTGTGATCTACGCAGAGTTTGGCAGTTCCTTCTTTTTTCAGAGAGAGAACGACAGGAAATGCCCAATGGCTCAGTGACTCACGTACTGCACCAGTGTCCAGCATCTCCTGAAGGGCCACGAGCAGGAGTTCTCTTTTGTGCACGCTGATGGGGCGTAAATTGCACCTCCAAGGCGGTGCGTTACCAGTTTCAATCCGACGCAGCAGGATGTCCGTCTTTCCTCGTCACTCCGTGAACATCGGAGAGAACGGCCGCACGACGTCCTCCAGCTGTCTCTTTTGTAGGTCTGTGACAGGACACTTGCGCAGGGTATCCGAGATTTCGGATGGTAGGGCAGCTGCAGGTGTCAAGAATTTGGCTCGGAGGGTTAGGCTAGTGATGCAGTTCTCTCTTCTGGTGAACGGAGACATGTCCGCCTGGTTTCCCAGACGATAAGCGCAACCAGTGAAGTCAAGCGCCATGCTTACGCCTGAAATAAAATTTCGACCTCAGATCACGGGTACGCCGAGTCCAGGGAGATACAGAAAGCGCTGACGCCGCTTCTTCTCATTAAATGAAATTTTAAGCCTTGCGGCTCCGCCCGCCGATATTGTTGGACCAGAGGCTAACCGCAGACATGTGTCTGCCAAAAAAAAGTTTTTTTTTTTTTTTTTTTTTGAATAGTCCATAGGCAGCGTTCCTTATAAGCGAGATAGCGGCCCCCGTATTCAAAAGCGCGGCAAGAAGAAAACCGAGCAAAGTGATGGTCATGCGTGCTCGATCATTTTGCTGTCAGGCTGAATTCGAGATATCGATGGAACAAGTGACGCTGCGTGCGTGATCCCGGCTGCTATAGTGGCCATCGGCGGCTCTGCAGTGGGGCTCATCGGCGCCGGCCGTAGTAGTTTCCCGATTGGGTTGCCACGTGACCACCCGTAGTTTCACGGCCCATAGGCGCGCGAGGGTTGACCGGATTTCCACAAAACTTCCGCTCACTTCCATCCCTTCCGCCATTCGATTCGTTCGGCCTTGGGTTTGTATTTGGGCACTTTCTTTGGAAGTGGCCACACTGTCCACAGTTGTGGCATTGGTTCGCAAACTTGTTTGAGTCCCCTGCGCAAGGGCGCTTTTCGGACGTCCTCTTGTGGCCCCGCATTCAACCAAAACTGGAGCGCTTCTGGCTGCTCTGATTAGGCATTCTGTGACCGTCCCGTGGAAATCTTGGCGCCGGGATTGCCTCGGGGCTCTGCCAAGCACGTGCGAGTTCGTCAGTGTTTGCGGCCGAAGGCAGTGGAACATAGCTTTTCTGAGCGAGGAAGATTTCCCTTGTGCTGCGGGCATGCCGGGCTAGCTCTTCAATGGTCTCAAAGGTGCGGCCGTGTAAGTACACGCGGTACTTTAGGTGACATTGTTCGAGAACCCGAACTATAATCTCCGACTCGAAGGCATTAGGTTGCGCTCTTGGTGCGAGTTCCTGTAAGGCGCGAACATATTGAACCAGGCTTTCGTTCGGATGTTGTGTTCGGGAATCGAGTTCTCTCAAGATTTTTAACTTGTAACCAGGTGACAGGAACTCTACTCGGAATTGCCGCTCGAACTCCGCTAGGCAGGTGAATGTAGGTTACAGTCTTAACCAGCACGCAGCGCTAGGCTGTAGAGCGAGTGGGAGTATTCGGCTTATCCCGAGGGATTCCGAGGCGCCTGAGGTGGCTTTGTAGACGTCGAGCTCACCCAGGAAGTCGGCGATTGATTAAGCATCGTTGTAGCCCATGTAGACAGGCACCGTCAGCTGGGGACGCAGCTCCGGCTCACGTAACTGCTGTACGGTGAGACGATCTGTGACCGCATCACACATGGCTGCCACCTTCAGTAGCATTTCGGCTTCCGCATCCGCCCAGCCTGCTCCGGGGTCTATGCTTGCTCCAGATTTCTCGCCATTCTTCGTCTCGGACCGTAGTGTGGGAGACATGGCGGGAAAAAGACAGGAACGCCAAGCAGACAAGAAAAACGTGTGCGGCAACAGACGGTAACCGGACTCGAGAAAGATAAACACGCCCCCAAAGCGTCACCCGCGTGACTAAGCAATGCTTCGAGGCTGCAGTTCAACGAGCAATCGCGCTGTTTCGAATACAAGCACTACTTCGAAAAGAAACACCGCAGTTGAAAAAAAACTTACCGAGAGAACAAGCCCAGCGCCGTGTCGCTCCCCCAGAAGGGCAGCAAAAGTACGTTCCGCGCCATATGGTAGGGTTGTCTTGCTACATGCCCATCCCGGAGGAACAACACGAAGCCGGGGTTTCCAATACAAGAAACTACATTTATTAGCGAAACAGGAATGGGTTGTTAGTATTAAAGTATAAAACTACCGTAGCGTTCGACCTACACGCCTCCGTGACCTTGGTCCGTATCCTCCTATTCTGTGGGCGTGTGATCCCGCACCTATTCCTCATGTGCTGTTGTGCGCTTCGGACTGTGTCCCCTTTGGGCGGTCGGTAGCGGCCCCTGAGCGTGGTGGCAGAACCTCGCTCCCACAAATTAGGTCATCAAGCTTTGCGAAGCCGAAACTGAAATAACATGGAAAGTTGAGCTAGCTGGTACTTTGAAGCAAGACTGAAAGAAATAGTCTCCGCTCATACTCACAATTTCATCGCGTCAAAAAAGCTTTTGAATCAGTTGCGATTTGTGCGAGTATAGTTCGGCGAGACTAGAACTAGTATGGCTTTGCAAAGTCACGAACATTCCTACCCGATATCATTTCATGACCCGTTTAAGAAATCCGGTACGCTTAGAGGACGTTCCCAAAACAAAATACACAAGGTTTTCTTCTTTTTTTTTTTCAAGAATAAACTATGGAAGGCCATTATGGACGGCTTATTCTCCTCTCAAAGGTAGCCCTAGAGGTCCGAACCAGATGCGAAAGTTTCAGCACGAACCGATATTTTGTTCAGAAGTTAAGAGAGAGTTTTTAAACATTTTATCGAAAAATGAGGCCAATTTTTGCACGTTTTCGGTTCCTGGCGCCATCAAGCACCACGTAATCGAGAACTCCTTCGGCTACCATTTTCCCATTGACAATTCCAGACAATAATTTATAACTTTCGAATATAATATCGGGTCGCATTTAAACTTTAGCGTCTGGTTCGTACCTCTAGCGCTACCTTTTGGCGGAGAATGAACTTTCGGCGATACGTAGTTTACTTTTGCGGTGAAAAAAACTCTGTAAAGGTTTTTCGGAGCACCCTGTACTTTCCCACCAAACACTTCGGAGTGTCAATCGCTGCAATGTACGAACCTCGATGATTGACGAGGCTGAAAATGTTTATAATACATTTAAATGCAAAGGTGCAAGCGATCGTGCTTACAGCTCTAGAAAAGCAGTCTGCGCTGCGGCACTGAAGATGACATAAACACGTGTTCAGTGTCCAAACATAGGTTCTTCTTTTAGGCCTAAACGTCCACAGCCTCGTCATTCGCCTAGCTCATTCGTAGATTGCAACAATTGACTTTCCTGGACGCTTTACGGGAAAGTAGCCCCGCAAGATTCCTTAAGGTATTGACTCGCAGACAAGCGGGTTCTGCAGTGTCCTGCAAAGTTGGTAACAATACGGAGTGAATGTTTCTGCAGACGTCAGCACCTATTCTACGCCAGGCTGGTATGCCGAACCTTCGCAGGGCAACTGACGTATTTCGTGCAGTGTATCAACCAACGCGCGACTCCGACGTCAAGGCACCGCGGAGGCGCTGCTGTCGGCACGGCGGAGACGCTTCACTTCTGGCCAGTCTGGTTTCTGCGCACCCGAAACTCTTAGAAAAAAAGGTATCTATAGTCCTCCCTTAGGAAGGGACGGTCTTGTTACTTATGTTCCTTTAGAAAGGGAGAAACTTTCGTCCCTGAAGTAGGGGAGCCATTAGTTCCTCCGTCGCCTGCATCGCATTATGGCGGCCCTGAATCGAGCAAATCCAGCTGAATAAGGCTTAACGAGGACGCTACGTCTTTTGTACGGGACGAGAGGAGCAGGAAATAGACGCGTAACACGAGCTTTCCGCGAACTGTGTTTATTTCCGAAGCCAGATACCCCCGCAGGTACAGAAACGTGCGTTTCGAAAGCAGTTACTCAGTCTTCTCGTCGACAGCACTGCGATGTTAAACGGAGACAACCGATACCCAGTTACTTCGCGCAATCTACAACTTACCTTTGGTGTTCCTCGAGTCACAATCCCTTTGTCAACAGCACATCTCGGAGGAATGGCAGACCCAACCCGCGAAACCAAAAGCCGCTCGCAAAAGAACAATCTCGAAGCCGCTGCGGCCGCTGTTCATCGCGTAGCGTGAAAGATGGTGAAACTGCTTGCCACCAGATGGCAGGGTCAAGCAGAGTAATTGCAAGTAGCTAGGCTAGGTAGCGCTAGGTACTGCCCAGTTCATGTTCTGCAAAAATAAATTATATCCTAAGGCCACCATTGCGCTTCGGGATGATCTAGTATACACATATTATGCACCACAAGCATCAGGTGATCATACACCGATCACATACACATAAATCGCACATACAAAACA